TTGCATTTAAATCGTTTTAGGTTCTATGAGACACCATTTCCGCATTCTAAAAATTGGGTTGCTTTTTCATACAATACAGAAATAAGTCTGAGAAGAAATATTCATGCTATGATGATGCATACATGTATTTAACAGTTAAAAATCTAAACTAAATCTATTCTTCTTGGAACCATATCTACAACTGCTTTAATTAACGAGATTTCACAAATCAAGTTCCTCCAGTATATCGTCTTTTTCCTCAGTCGAGACGAACTTAATCAGTTTCAGCTTCGAGCATGTAACATGTACCCCTCCCCCCCAATTTCTCCACGGATTTAGCCTTTCTGAGAGAATGGTTTTATAAATAAATAATAAATTTAATCACTTATAATGCGTTTTTTACATGAAAATGATCAAGAGTGCAGTACAGTATCTACAACTAAGAATTATACATTCACAAACAAATATTACAATTAATAATATATTAAAATATTAAATGTATATTGATCATATATCAGTCAAAAGCTGAGGTAAAAAGATATGTTTTTAATTGAGCTTTAAAACAGGATATTGAGACAGTGTCACGTAGACTTGCAGGAAGAGAGTTCCAAAGCTTGGGCGCTGCCACACTAAAAGATCGGTCACCAAAACTACTAAGCATTCGTCCCTTGGTATCGTTCAGAACAATACTTGAGCTTGAACGCAGAGAATAACGCGTGTGCTGCCTAACATCAAGTAGTCTACTGGTGCCATGCCATGTATAGCTTCAAAAGTTAAAAGTAAAATCTTAAATTTTATCCAAAATTTAACTGGTAGCCAGTGCAGTTCCCGCAATACGGGCGTAATGTGATCATACTTCCTGGTTGACGTTAAAAGCCTAGCAGCCGCATTCTGCACTCGTTGAACTTTCCTTAACTCACAATCTGGTAGTCCGTATAAAAGGTTATTGCAGTAGTCAATCCTGTTCGTGACAAACGCATGAATGACCATCTCTAACTTGTCTCTCGGTAAGAAACTACTAACACGTTTAATGGTGTGCAGCCAGAAAAATGCTGCTCCACAAGACTTTGTCACATGAACTGACATCGATAAATTAGAGTCAAACCACGAGCCAAGGTTGCGTGCGGACGTAACAGGCTGAACGTTAGCATCTCCTACGCGAATATAACACTGATCAATTTTCTCTAATTGCTGTCTGGAACCAATAATTAGAAATTCAGTCTTATCATCATTGGTCATGAGCTTATCCTGCAGCATCCACTGTCTTAATTCAGCAATGCAATTTTCCATAGCACACACAGCTGCAGCTTGATTCATAGAGCTATCAGGCTTGAATGACAAATATAGCTGAGTGTCATCAGCAAAGCCATGAGCATCCGGAAGGTGTGTACGAACAATCTCAAACAACTTTGATGCATGCATTATGAAGAGAAGCGGACCTAAACATGGCCCTGCGGCACCCCACACTTCAGGTCAAAGCTGTCAGATTTCGCACCATTCAAAGAAATGTGTTGACTTCTCGCGGATAAGTAGGATCTATACCAGTCGAGAACTGTTCCATGAATACCAAAATCAGTATTCAAACGCTTGAGCAAAATCGCATGGTCAACTGTTGTCAAATGCTGAACTTAAGTCGAGCAGAACTAACAATGTGACGCGCTGAGAATTCATATTCAATAATATGTCATTGGTAACTCTTAATAAGGCTGTTTCGGTGCTGTGATATTTACGGTACGCCGATTGGAAAAGAGGATAAAGTCGTGACCGTTGCAAGTGATCATGAGTCTGATTAAAAACAGCACGCTCTATCAGTTTTGAAACAAACGCCAAATTACTAATCGGACGTAAGTTCTTAAACGCCAGTTCCAAACCTAATTTCTTAAGTAATGGAAGAACAACAGCTTCTTTCCAATCCCTAGGGAAATAGCCAGACTCCAGAGACACATTGATAACTTTAGTAACTACAGGCAACAATGTATCAATACACTTCAATAGTAAGGTTGTTGGTATCGGATCCAAGGAACACGAAGTCACTTTAGAGGTGGTAATTAGTGCACGGACATCGTCCTCGGATAATGAAACGAAGGAGCCAAATGAGGGTACCACATTACATGTTTCAGTTGCAAAATCTTGTGGAACAACATTGTCCAACTCATCCCGGATGCTAGAAATTTTTTGAACAAAAACATTTCCAATATCATTAGCCAAAACTGTTTCGTCACTATAACCAGGAAACGATAACTTCTCTTTCTCAACTAAATAGGTTTTTAACAGCTTTGAAAAGCTTGCCCTGGTCGTCACTATTTTTGTCAATAAAGGCAGTGAGAAAAGATGACTTGGCCATTTTCAGCAAACATGTGACACGATTTCTACGTTTCTTAAACAGCCTGAAATCAGAATCAGCCGCAGAAGATCTCCATTTTCGTTCTGCACGTCTGCGTTCTATCTTAGCTTTACGAATTTCTTCAGTGTACTACCTTGGGTCTAACAGTGACTATTTTGGTGGCGATTGGGGGGGGGGGGGCGCTCTTAATATAACTTGATATTTTTAAGAAATAAATTTTTAATAGTTAAAAAAGGCACTGTCCGGGTGGGCGCACATTAGAACTCTCCTGAAAGTCCGCTCAGTCTGATATAAGTGCATTTTTCCTTAATAGTGAATATGTGCCAGCATATTTAAAAATTTATAATGCTTAGCCGTATTGTTTTCATGGTAAAAGAGTTTGATGGTCAGTGTGGATTATAACGGTCGGCAATCGGCTATTTTCCAAACAAAAACACTAAATGGCTGATTAATCTAATTATTCTGCACGGACATTTTGACCGAGCAAATAAAACAGACTTATTAGGCAGTTTTCATTTAAATGAAAGGTATACTATTTGACTAGTACGGTACTGTTCATATAAAGCATAAAAGCGAGAGAAGGAACTTACACAAAATATTTTCTTGGCTTTGCTGTGACAAGCAACAAAATCACATCACAGGTTTATGGTACTAGACATGCAGAAAATTCCCGAGAACACAATATACAATGGATTGTTGGGACTGCTTGCCAAAAATTAAGTAATGTGATTGATCAAGCGAGAAGTGATCAGCACGAGCTATCAAATTGATACCTCGTCAATTGAATGTAAATTTTCAAAGGCTGGCCGATCATTATTAGCCAATGTCCGAGCAACTACACAGTTGATCGGACATTTGTCAGACCCAAGCGAAACTGTTATAATCCACACTGATATAGAGATCGCTCTCAAGGCCGTAGGAAGCTCTTTTTGATTGGGGGGGGGGGCTGAAATCGAGAGCCGAAGACCCGAGGAAATTTTTAAATTTAGAGTCTCTGAAATGCCATTTGCTGGACTTTGGGAAAGATTTGACAGAATTGTGATGGTCAGAAAACAGCGTTTTAGTATGTCGAAATTTACAATTTGGTAGTACTAAATGGGCAAAGGCGTATTTAATTAACTATATATTGGATAAGTTGCAGGAAAGTATGGGTAATATCTTCATTCTTTGCAGTTTGTCATGGATAATGTAGCCGCTTAAAATTAATAAAGCTTAAAATCTATAAATGTCTGCATGATTTTGAAAAAAGAATGATTATTATCAAATTATTGAGGGGGGGCTACAATCCCCCCCAGCCCCCCGGTTGCTACGGCCCTGGCTCTATATGCATCATGCATGTGTAAATTATACCACCTTATTTATATATAACCTTGGCATTTTGGTAAAGACTAAAGAGTAGCATAATACTGACTGTACATACAAAGCAGTGCTTTATTATGCTTCACTATATATTATTATAGATCGTAGGCAAAATCTGATAGAGCTTGGAGAAACTCGGGTGGTATAACTGTGTTGGTG